GGGCCTCAGAATATCAGTTTTATATGTCTTTATATGTTTAAAATGAATAGTGATGCTTACTTTAATACACTATTCTTTCCTTTGCTCTTTCCCTACACCATGTCTTTGAGATCCTCCTGTATTAGCATGTATAGGTCTACTTCATTGTTACCACCTATATAATATTCCAATATAATGTTGCACCTTAAGTCATCTATCAGTCTCCTATGATATTTTATAATAACACAAAAAAGTGAATACTTTTTAATATCACACTTAAGTGAACATCCTCATCTTTGTACATATGTGTGTTTAGCCCTCTTTGTGTGCATATTTAAAATAAATTCCATAGCAGTGGAATTGATGAGTTAAAGAATCAATTCATTTTGGATTTTGGTAGATACTGCTAAATACTTCCTGAAAGATTCCCGTGATGCTGTTTACTATGAAATGTATGAGAGTGCCTACTGGCCCCCTTGCCTAGCAGCTGTTACTGAGTATCATTGATATTTTAATTTTACAAATCTGATAGGTTAAAAATGGTATCCTGTTTATTTATATATTTTTAATATATTTTATTGATTTTTTTAACATACAGAGAGGAAGGGAGAAGGATAGAGAGTTAGAAACATCAATCAGCTGCCTCCTGCACACCCACCACTGGGGATGTGCCCACAACAGAGGTACATGCCCTTGACCGGAATCGAACCTGGGACCCTTCAGTCCCCAGGCCAGTGCTCTATCCTTTGAGCCAAACCGGTTAGGGCGGTATCCTGTTTATTAATTGTATATGAATTTAAAGTGAGCATATTTTTAAAATTTGTTTTGGCCATTTTTTAAAAAATTGCTTATTTGTATACCCTTTATCATATGGAATTTATTAATTTTAGTTTAATGGAAGGCACCAGGAGTATTATTTTACATGGGAAGTGGTGAGGAGGATTGCTCTGGTTGCTTACTCCCTCCAATTTGTAAAGTCCTTAAGAAGTGAAATTCTTCCTGTGTGTTCTCTAATTCTGACTGCATGAGTTTTTGTTTTGTAAAATGCTCAGTCACCATGCCTACACAGTAGTCAGTGCTCGACTTCCTCCCTTTTCTTCCTTCACATTGGTTTTTCACTTTATACCAGATTTTGTGGGAGACAACTTACTGTCTAGTGGTGATGACTCCGGTGTTTCCTGCACATCTGGTGTGTGAGCCTGTCTAACAGGGCTTCACAATGCCTGACCTCTGAATGGGGCCATCCCAAGGCCAGGGTCACTGGGCAGGCTAGCAATTTGGTTCCCCCTTCAAAACAATGTATTTTAAATAGCCAGTAGTTATTAGAGGAGAAGAGCTTCATGTAAATAAAGAGTGGAGAACGTTCTGCAGACTTAGGCCAAAGTTTGGCTGCCTCCTGACCTTGACTTCACTCGGCACAACAAACTGAACCAGCCTTCAGAAAAAGGAAGTTATTTTCTGCAGCTTGTTCCTAGGGCTTTGATTCTTTTCCAGGGTAGCCTGCCCAAGTCACTTCCTACCACACCCAGTGTGCTGACCAGACCCATACCCCCTCCAGCTTTCACTTGATATTTAGTGTCCCTTTAGTCCACCCTTTAGTGCAGTCTTAATGTCAACATGTATGATGTAAGGTGACTGAATTTTGTTTAAACAAACCTATTTGAACTTGTGTTTTGGTGAATGTTCCCCGTCAAGGATTTAGCCCACACTTAAAATTGCTTAAAACAGCACGTGTAACACATTCCTTTTGAATGTTCTCAGAGGTGACAAGTTTCATTCTTTGATGTTGAGATTTCCCCCCTCTCCCTCCCTCAGTAGTTTAAGAGTTTTTTAAATCCCAGTGTAGTGACTGGGGGCAGGGATTGAAGTTATAACTATACAGTAATGAGAGGGGCCCTTTTGAGGACCCTAAACACAGTGGCTCTTAAATGCTAGGCTGTGGATTTTCTCCACCAGACAATGCTCTCACATGATTTTTCATTGAGTTTCAGAGTCCTCATGGACCCTCTGAAAATTTATCTAAGAACCCTTCTTGAATTACTGTAAAAGTCATTCATTTTCATGCATTGGTTCTGAGATTTTGTTTTAAGACTTTTGTCTTGGAGTCAGACCTTGTGTCTTAGACATGGATGTGGATTTTGAGGTTAGAAAAAGGCCAGGGTGTGTATCTGTGCCATACAGGAAGCCTGTTTAAATTTTGGCAGCTTTCCTCACTTTACATGTCAAGTAAAACTCATACAGGGGACCATCTGTAGCTAAAGGACAGGAACTGATAGATCTAAAAGGAGTTTCAGACAATGCTTCACCAAAAAGTTAAAACCTGAGGGGGAAAAGTCAAGCATACTTGAAAATAATGCCAAACCTGAAGTAATACACATTGTTTTCCAAGTGGTTGTGGTTTTCTTTCTTCTAAAATGAGATTATACATGTGAAAGCAGATAGTCAGTTGGTTCTGAGAATATGTCAGCTAAATACATTTCTGAGTTTCAAATATATTTGTGATAACGGCATTTCCCTTCTTCTAATCTAAGACTTTCAAGGTTTTTCATAAGCTTGTATTTTAACGCAGTATGTTTTCATTATACTGGAGTGCAAACCCGAATGTCTAGCTGTTAATC